AGCAGCTACAAAAAAGTGCCACAAACTTGTTTCCAGAAAGTACAGCAATTTCTTATGGTTAATCTATTTTAGATTAGCTATTTCTCAGAGTCTTAAACTTGGTTGCCTGAGTCAACAGAATGGGTGGGTGGGTGAGCAGCAGGCTCAACGCCTGGATCTGAGGTCAAACGCAATGTGTTGTATAGTTTTCAAAAAGTGCTGCTGCTTGGATGACTTTATTGGCATTAATCATTTTTGGAAATTAAAAACTCCCCTCCATTCTGCAACCCCCCAGCAACTTCCCTATAATGAAAGGGAACCCAAGGAAGACTCAAGATCTTTGGAGGGGATCAGAAATTTTAATTTAATTTAAACAAACAAACAAATAAAGCAACCAAGCCAGCACGCCATGGTTGATGACATCATCAGTTTCATGCTGCATAACTTATGCTGCTGAATTTCAGCCTATATGTTGCAGCTAGACAAATGATTATTCAATCTTGGAAAGGAGCTGTAGAAATCTCAATAAACTCTTGGGAATACAAAGTGTAGAAATTCGCTCTGATGGAATTAGTACTAGTTATAGGCTAGATGGACTTGGCTATCAGAGGCTATCAGATCTTCCTGGGCCGACAGTCCCAAATACAACTACTGTTGTTACCAGGACCAGCTAATTAAGTAACTAACAATTTGATAGCGCCATTCCTGTGTTAATAAACCATTGCCACTCTATTACTTGTATATTTAACTGATCATGAGGACATGTATAAAATTATGGGCCATGCATCTGCATTTCAGAGTCTGAAGAAGTGAACTTCAGTTCACAATCATAATGAAATCACTGGTTGAAAAGAAGCTATTGTTTCATGAACTTTCATACGGTGCAATGTCGCTTTAATGGTGGAGATTATGAGTGAAATATGTTGTTATGCTATTAAAAAGTGGAGACTGTTTACAATGTATAAGATACAGATATTAAGGAAGAATTATTAGAACGTTGATTCAATTCATATATTTAAGGTATAAATTAAGCTAAATTATTTCAGTCTACAAAAGAGATTTGGGTACCTATAGCTTCTGCTCTTTTTTCTATTCCTGGAGACTAATATGACACCAGCTATTATGCCAGACTGATCACGAAAATAGCAGATTTCAGAGAGGAAACCATGTTAGTATATTCCAGCATGTATAATAAGAAAAATAAATAAAAAAGAACAAAATTATTATGATACTTTAAAGGCTAACAGACTAGTTCAATATGAGCTTTGCCAGACACATGGGAGTACTATAGACAGAGGTTTGTATATACCACTCTTGTGACATGAGTGAAGAGGATTGCAGGCATAAAATGAAAATCGCCTGTGGGTATGACTACACTGCAAGGGAAATGCGAATTCACTCACATTCACTCGCTGTGAAGCTGCACCAGGGAATTTGGTCTGTCTGATTTAAGTGGCCGCACAGGGAGACAGGAGAGCCTCCCCCCCCCAACCCGGCCCCCATTTGCTTGCAGTTCTGCATATTCTCCTGCAGGTGGCACCATTACAAAGAACAGGCTCACAAACAATTTCTTCATTGAAAAAAAAAATCCCCTCAATTTCTTAACCTGTAAAACTAAAACACACCCCAGGAGTGTTGCCCACAGAAAAGAACTTTTTAAAAAAGTGTCTTGGGCAAAGAGGTGTTGCTCCCTGTACATGTGTGTGTGCGTGTGTGCGTGCACGCATGCGTGCATGTGTGCGTGCACATACACACACTCAATTGTAATTTCCTGTCTGCATCAGATCTGAATAATCACATGTTTTGAACTGAAGTGAAAGAATCCAGCTTTTAAAAAGTAGAAACGTCTCTGTTGGGGAGGGGAAACTACAGATTGGGGCTGTGGAACTACAAGATGGATCACATTTTTCATTGCATCTTGTGATTAATGGGGGGGGGAAGGAAATCAGCCCACCCCAAACCCATAGTATTTCCTGTATTTTCCCCATTTGTAGTCAGGTTCTTACTCTGGGACATGGTGGCGCTGTGGGTTAAACTGCAGAAGCCTATACTGTAGAGTCAGAAGACCAAGCAATCGTAAGATCGAAGCCACGTGACGGAGTGAGCGCCCATTGCTTGTCCCAGCTCCGGCCAACCTAGCAGTTCGAAAGCATGCAAATGCAAGTAGATCAATAGGGACCACCTCGGTGGGAAGGTAACAGCGTTCCGTGTCTAAGTCGCACTGGCCATGTGACCACGGAAGATTGTCTTCGGACAAAACGCTGCCTCTATAGCTTGGAAACGGGGATGAGCACTGCCCCCTAGAGTCGAACATGACTGGACAAAAATTGTCAAGGGGAACCTTTTCCTTTACCTCTTACTCTGTTGCACGGAGGCTGTCTCCTATATAGAATGCAGACAGGACACAGTGGAAGCCTTTGTCCTCAACCAGAGAATAAACAAGACACAGATCTAATATTATAAATTGCAGCATACAAAAACCAGTTTCAGACCTCTTTAGCATCCTAGGACACCTTGGTACTGATCTCAAAGTGGCTACTATAAATAAAAGAAATTACACAGGGAAAATTCAGAACATTACACCATAAATTCCAGCATGCCTCTAAAAACGTAATAAAGATCAAGGCTTTCTTGCTCACTATAGATCACATACATGACTAGAGCTAGGGAATGGAGTTCAGTGTCTCCCAGGAGAAGGGCAAGCCAAGATAATTCAGTCTGTGGTTAAGACTATATGCCCTGCCATACTTAAATAAAATGGTTAGCCTTGGACAACTTTCACAGTCCCAGACCACCACCAGAAGGAAGGACAGGGAAACCACTGTTGAGTATTTTATACCAAGAAGCTCCTTGGAGATTTGTTATTCAGTATCAACTTGCAAGCACATAATTGTTATTGCATATGTCACTAAGCCAGTTTACTTTATAACCTTACATATAGATAAATGTTATTTCCTTTGGCTAAGCTCTGGCCTCAGTATCAGAAGTTGATTCATGGAAAGAAGAAATAAACTTAAGTAATTTTGTAAAACAAAATTCTTAGCCATATGCTTACCTGATAGATAGTTAATCATTCTGCCTGTGGCCAAAATCCTATGTCATCAACACTCTGAAAGCTCATTAATAATAATAATAATTATGTGCTGTCAAGGCAATTCTGACTTACAATGACCTTTTTCAGGGTTTCCTAAGTACAGAGTACACAGAAGTGCTTTGCCATTCTTTATTTTCTGGGTGCATTTTGGAACCATGCAGCTCATCCTCTTCTCCCAGGAAAAGAAGAGGCACAGGGGGAAAATCGAACTCCTGACCTCTTGCTCCACAGCCAGGTACCCAACTTACTGAAGTATCCAGCTAGCTTCATAATTTCTGCTAATACTGCTACTGGCACTTTGTTTACCATTCCCTTCTTCTAGTGGCAACTTCGGACTGTGCAGCTCGCCCAAGGCCACACAGGCTGGCTCTTCTTCTGGGATGCACAGTGGAGAATTGAACTCCCAATGTCTGATTCCACAGACAGATACCTAGTTCATTGAGCTATCCAGCCAGCAATATACTGTGTACACCTGGGGCTAAACTTTAAACATGTCTGAGTTGTGGATTGCTATCCATAAACGCTTGTACTTAAGGTAACACAATGCTTTCAGTCTTTATTTTTGTTACACACAACTACTAGAGACGTTTGGAGTCTTGGTACATCATCAGTTCCAAACAATGAAGTGCTAGAGCCCTCTTTGAGTGGAACAAAATGTTTGATGGCAATTGAGGGTCTTTCATTTAACTGAAGAATTATATAGAAAAAAAAGCCTATTCAACAAATTCTATGGCCAGTGATAGTTCTAAAACAACTAAAAAGCCAGCAGTTTTTGTCTGCTACCCCTGCTAGGGTTCACTGGAAATAGCTCTAGGGGACCTTCACAGCTACTACCATTTAGTGATATATTTCCCTATGAACTTCCTCCATTTTCTCTTCTACCTAGTGTTCCAGGAGTTTTATTGAGTCTAATAAGAAGACAGGATTGAGGGTGATGTCACATAGGAAATTCTTCTGAACAGTCCTAGCCTAGTTCGTAAGCCAAGGCAGGATATTTGGCTCAGACAGCAGGTTGAAAGAGCCACTGCTTATTGCCTCTTACATTATTTGTTACTATGGCTTCGCCCAGTCACTGTACTCTTCCTGCTCAAAATCACCATCAACATCACCGCTCAACTGGCTGTTGTTTCTCTCTTTTTCCACTACTTCCTTTTTTGCCCCAGACATTCATCCTGCCATATGAAGGTAAAACTGAGTACCTTCCATTTGTGGAGTGGTAGTGGGTAGTGATGGGCACGAACTAGAAAAACAGTTTGTGATGGTTCGTCGCTATTCAGAAACCATTAATTTTCATGAACTTTCCAACAAAATGAACCATTTCATGGTTTGTTTGATTTGGGACTTCCAGAAGCTGTAGAATGGCCCCCAGATGAGTGAGAAATGTCAAACTTGCAGTGAGTCTACAACTGACTAAAGAGCACTTTACTGGGGGGGACCTGCTTTGGGGAGCTGTATCGTGGACATGCCAAATCCAATCTTCACCAAACCTAGAGGGTGTGTTGTGAAGTGTCAGCTGAAGAATCTCTGTGAGTTTGGTGTCTCTGACTTGTGCAAGAGCTGTTTTACCATTCCTGGAAGTCTCAAGTCACACAAACCATGAAATTTATAAATCACCAATGCTGGGGCTAGTTTGGCATTGTGTTGTGTTTTGTTCTCAGCAGGGACATTTTCCCCAGGTGCCCTGAAACAAACCACAAAACAACAGAATTTTGGTTTGTTTTTTGTTTTTTGTTTTTTGCTCCTTGATTTGTTTTGTGCCCACCTCTAGTAATGGAGCAACTAAGGTTTCCTGTGAAGTGCATCATGAGCCTTTAGTCTAAAAGAAAGGGGAGCAGGGTCTTGTCTCCTTAGCAAGTATTTGTGACTATCTAAAAAGAGTAACTCATATAGATGTAACTAAGTTATGTATGCATGTGTTTTAATAAAGGTTCAACATTAAGCGGCAGCTGACCTTCCCGGAACATCTTCTGGCTCCTTTTCATTCATCTCATCTGCAGAGCATTCTTTTCATTGGGAATGGCTAAGGGGGGAAAAGGTCCCAAAGGGAAAAAAGTCACCTTGAAAGTTGCTAAGAATTGCATCAAGATTACATTTGATGGCAAGCATCGCCTTGATTTGAGCAAGATGGGCATCACAACGTTCCCCAAATGCATCCTCAAACTAGCCGAAGATGTGGATGAACTAGATCTCAGCAGAAACATGCTCAAGAAGATCCCAGACTCTATAGAGAAGTTCCAGAACCTGCGGTGGCTGGACCTGCACAGTAACCAGATTGACAGGCTGCCAGAAACCATAGGGAACTTACAGAATCTCATCTTCCTGAACCTTAGCAACAACAAGCTCACAGCCCGGAGCTTACCAGTGGAACTCAATCAGCTCAAGATCTTGCGTAACCTCAACTTGGGTCTAAATCACATTGACAATCTCCCGACCACACTGGGAGCTTTAAAAGAGCTCCAGGAAGTTGGGGTATTTGATAACTTACTAACGACCATCCCCAACAGCATCGCAAAACTCCCAAAGCTCAAGAAGTTGAACGCCAAGAGAAATCCTTTCCCTGGGCCCACAGAAGAGGAACTCTTCATTGACCATATCAAACGCCTTGAAACACTTTACGTGGTGGAAGAAAAAGATCTTTGCTTCCCCTGCTTGAGAAAATGTCAAGAAGAGCGGGACAAGCTGAACAAGCTGAAGAACACAGTGCCTGCACCTCTCAGAAAGCCAAATTTTTCAAGCCTCATGACACCCAATTCCCTGGCAAAGGAGAATCAAGCAGAATGGAGGTGAATAAGTCACTACCATCCTTCACAGATGCAGGGCAGACAGTGAGGTAGAGCCGTAACAGGGCACCTTTGCATCTGATCTTTGTAATTGGTCCCAAGCAATAAAAGTGCGCTTGATCACATGTTCTATCTACTAAAATGCCTTCTCCTCTAACAGGCACATGTCAGTTCACCAGTTACAATACTACCCACTTTCCCCTCAGCTTTGAGGACAATGAACAACATATCTGCTGGTTACTCTTGCAAAAGGAGATGAGGAGAACACAGTTTTCTTTTTGAGCTTGTAGTTTGGCAGGGGGAGGGACTGTCACCACAGTTGCACACAGCTTCAGAAGTGCAGGTACCAGGAAAACCCTCTGCCAACCTTCAGCTGGAAGAAGAAAGGTGAAGTACACAGTCTGGGCAGTGGAGGTACTCTGAACACCTGTCTATCCAATTCCCCCCAAAAGCCTCAATCTTCTCAAGCTCAGAAAAGAGGTTTATGTTCTGTGGTTGGGTGGTGATGGCAGCCAGAGAGTGATGCGTGCTTTCTAAGCACCAAAAGAGGCCCCAGTCTTGTCCCCCAGATTCAGTAAGGGAGTCTGAGAATAGCTGTTTGGGGGCTGGACAGTAAAGGATGCTAGGAATACCTTATTCACATAACATCACCCACTCGTCCCATTCTGATACCACAAATTTAGAATGGGAGAAAAGAAGCAAAAGCTGTCCCTTATCTACTGCAGAAGCAGAGCATAAGGTCAGAAAAAAGAGGCTACTGGGAACCACAACTCTCAACTCGGCTATTTATTTATTTATTTAATTTAAACCCCGCCTATCTGGACTACTAGACCACTCTAGGCGGCTACTAAGTCCAGTCAAAATTAAGGAATGGCTACCTTTGCTTATGCAAAAGTGGCACGTTTGTATTGAATCTCATGACGCAGCGGCTAAACTGCAGTACTACAGTCAAGACTGCTCACAATCTGAGTTCAATCCTGGTGCAGCGGCTAAACTGCAGTACTATAGTCAAGACTGCTCACAATCTGAGTTCAGTCCTGACGGCCTCACGTAGCCGGCTCAAGGTTGACTCAGTCCTCCATCCTTCCAAGGTCAATAAAACAGAGTGGCCAGCTTGTTGGGGCAGGGGACAATGTGCAGCCTGCATGATTAAATTGTAAATCTCCCAGAGAGTGCTTTAAGCATTACGGGGTGATACATAAACTGCACACTTTGCACTGCTTCAGCTGAAAATTACTTTAGGCAGAAACAGCTAAATCTCCTTGGAATACCTTCAAGCAGTATTTCAAGCAAACAAGATGACTTGGTCATGCATGTTGATCTAATTTCTCCAAGCTCCAGATCTTCAATATATAACATAATGGCATACAACTGTAGAGCCTAACATGTGTACCTCTAATAGCCTGTGTTTTAAAACCTCTGCTTGCTTTCTGGAAGGTAAGGATCATAATCATACAGACCTTAAGCACAATAGACATGGTGGCGTTAAAGTGAATTCAAAGATTGTGTACAAATAGGCAAACAATGTAGTCAGAATCCCAGTACCTCACCATAAGATGAGCATAGGTTATGCTGAAAACTGTTGCTGATAGGGCAGGATTTAGACCAATATCTTATTGCTAACAACCTGCTGTGCAATAACAGTCATGGAAGTAAATTCTATTAATAGTCAAGGCACCTGTTGCCAGTTTCCCAAACCTATCTCCATGCTTGTCATTGTGTACAGATTAATTTGAACAGTTATGATGTTGGAATTTTCTAAATCAATAAAACAAACAAACATGCTAAAATACAAGTACAAAAAGACCCTTGCGACTTGTCAAAGGCTGCCCTATGAACTTTGTGTAATGTGTTGATACTACAATTGATAAATTGTGTTTTAGCGTTAATACTTTCTGTTCGCTTTATATGTACCTTTTAAAATCATGTACATAAACCTGTTTCTAGATTAGCAAGGTTTTCAACTTGAGTTCTCAATGGCACTCTACCCATAGCCTTCATGCTGGTCTATAATGCCCTGTTTTTTAACACATATACTTAAAAGCAAATTATTAAAATTCCCTTCACTGGGAATTTTTAAGTGACTGTTAAAAACGTGACTTTTCCAGCAGGCCTTCCTGGACCTTACAACATCTTAATTACAACACCTAATTACACTGAGCGGTTTCAACATTTATACTATCAGTCCTGCTGTCTTGCTCTATGCCCTGTTTCCCTGAAAATAAGACAGGGTCTTATATATTAATTTTTGCTCCAAAAATTAGGACTTATTTTCAGGGAATGTTTTATTTTATTTTTTTCATGTACAACAATCTAGGTTTATTCAAATACAGTCATGTCATCTTCTTCTGGGGGTAGGGCTTATATTACGAGCATCCTGAAAAATCATACTAGGGCTTATTTTCAGATTAGGTCTTATTTTAGGGGAAACAGGGTATTACATTATTTTATACTATTTTAACTATTTTATTTAAATTGTTGGTTGTTTTATCTTTATTTTGATTTGATACTATTATGTTCATTGTTGGTATAGTGTATGTTTTTTTTGTCTAACATGTAAACTGCCCGGAGTGGCCTAGTAGCCAGATGGGTGGTATAGAAACTAACAAACTAACAAACTAACAAACTAACAAACTAACAAACTAACAAACTAACAAAATAACTAAATAACTAACTAAATAACTAAATAAATAAACAAATAAATACATAAATGTAGCCCATCTATGAGAAAGGCAGCATGACCTACAGAAATTCATGCGTTTGAACTGTGCCCATCATTATCATATATTCTCTTGTCCCCACCTAGCAATTGCATATGGGCTACTCTACACAGATACAACTAAATTTTGGTGGGTGGAAGCCTATGGGAAAGTTATATCTGCGTACTGTACCTCTAGAACACACAAAACATGGCTGGATGGGCTCAATGACAATGATGGCCACAAACAATCCAAAGCTCCTCACTTGGGGTTTTTGTTTTGACAATAAGCAAGGGGATGAAGAATTATTTTCCTCATTATAGAAGAAGTCAGGGAAGCTCCGACATGCACGGAGCACAACACGCAGACAAAAACCAGACATAGGATATTGTATTTATGTCTAGTGATCTCAAAGACAAAGGAAACATAGTGTAATTACCAGGTATATCCAGTTTCAAATTTTTAAAGAAACAAATGTATAAATCTTGCATTTTAGTGCCTTTAGCTCAGAGATGCAAATGATACATGCTAAACTCCTCGTTTTAATTCATTTAGGATGAGTTGATGCAGTGAGCCATCCCAACAAGGAATTTTGAAAGCCCTGCAAGATTCCCGCCAACAGTGAGACCACCAGCTCTTTCCTTGCCTTGAAGTCTCTGTAATGTCTCTCTAGTTCTTTCCCTTTGAGAAGCAAAGAGGGTGTGTGAGTACGTACACCTATGCACACAGAGGACAAGCACAGAAGAACTGGATGATTGCTAAGAAAGATGCAAGCAACCCATGCAGTACTTCAGATTCTTAAACAAAGCAATAGTTACCTTAGTTTGGGCAACTGTTCTGCAAATTGTACAGTTTTGCATAATATAGGCAATGTGGCACAAAAATGATACTTTTGTGCAAAACTTCAGTCTCATCTACACAAGAACTCTATCAAGAGTGCCAGATTTCATGTCATCTTGGCTAGTGAGAACAAGAATGTTGTACTTCCTTTTCCTCCCATATGAGAATTAGGCAACTAGATACTTGCATTCCTATTTTAGCTCAGTGTAGTTCCATACAATCATGCAAAATACATAGAATGAATTAAAGGCACAACTAAGGTAAAACCTAAAATGTATCTGAATACCTTCATTAAAGATCATATTTCAAACAATTATAATGCTACATTTGGCAGTGGCAGCAGATATTACCTATGCATATTACTAAAGTTAGATTCTAATCTAACAGAATGGACCATGGAGACAAGGGATTATGTAGAAATGAATATACTGTATTAAACTCCGTTTTCTTGGTAAAGCAAGGGCTCTATATGCTTAGCAGGTTTGAGAAAAACTGGAAATGTTTTAGAAATGCTAAAAAAATGTCGTATTAGAAGAGGTCACCATGTTAATTTGTGGTAGCAGATCAGAACAAAATAAAAATTAAAAAGACAAAAAATGTTGTGGCATCTTAGAGACTAACTGATAAATTGTAATGTCAGCTTTTGTAGACAAATCCACTCCCTCAGACAAAAAAAAATTGCAGTAATTTACATTCCATTTCCTGTACTGTATTTTCTTCTCAGAATATTTTTACTCACATAACCAAAAAAGATACCATATCATTCGTGTCAGACATTATACTGTTTTAGCTGTTACACTTCCTGTCCCACAATATATTTTTCTAAAACGCTGGCAGGTCCACAAAGGAAAGCCAGAGCTGCCTTTGGCAAGCAAACCCTCTTTTTGTTTCACTTCTACAAAATGTTGTATGAACCCTTAAGCCCTTGCTCAACATTCCGGAAGTACCAGCTAGTGAAATTATTCAGTTTGAACTGCTGGATAGGTCTCTGTGGAGCCAGAGATTGGGAGCTCGATTCCCCCCCCCCGGCCTCCTTGAGAGGGGCTGGATGCAATGATCCATAGGGTCTCTTCCAGCTCTGCAATTCAACGGTTGTTCAAAGGTTTTTAATCCTTTCATGCCAGTCACTTTTTCATTCAGAGTTTTCCATCCTCTTCTGTTCCTCACAATGAGGTTCTAAATTCACCCCTTCCAGCAAGGACAACTTGAAGGGAAAGGAGGGATACTGTCTTAAGCTCCTCAGAAAAGTTTGACTGAGAGCAAAAAGACTAGAGCAATTAATGAATTAAATTTTTGTTCATATAAATGTATGTCTACTTGTTACCTTATATTAATGGACTCCTCTGTGACGCCTTTTGATTTCAGATCAGGCCTCACCGAGTAAAATCTGAACAAAGAGAAGAAAATACAATCAGAAAATCACTACATCATAATAGCAAATTGCAGTTATTTCAGAACATTCAATTTAAATTATTTCTGCTTATTTCGCTAGCTGAAACCAATAGGAAGAACTCATTAGATTTGATATTCACATGCTAAATACAAGCCACTATTAGGACATTAAAAAGTTTAAGTACATTTCCTTCCATTGCCAAAGACAACATACAGAAAATAGCTTTAAGAACAGCATTGGGATTTTCTCATAGATACGATTATCTTTTAAAACCAGCTTATTTTTCATATCACATTTGGATTCTAAGAGGTTAGCTAGGACTTATAACTGTTAGTTAATGAAATCTTCCTCTAGGAACTTTGCTGGCCAGGGCAGGGGGCAAGGGGGCAACGAGCACCAAGGGTTACAATGGAAATATAGGAGTGTACCTAGGCCTCTGAGTATAACTGACAGGCATATTGTCACAAGATACATTAGCTTTCCAATCCATTTTAACAGAAAGTGTGATATAAAACCGAAAACAGACCTGGAGTTAGGAAATATTATATTGGAGAAAATCCCAATGGTTTTGTTCCTTTTTAAAAAAAAAGCCATATGCGTGTGCTGCTACTGTGCTTTTTCAGCTGGTAGCACATACAGGAAGAAGAATCTTAAATGCAGATGTATTTTATGTGTGGACTACCAAGCTGAGTGCAAGACTTTAAGTTTCTATGCTCTTTGGAATCTATAAACCAGAATGCTGGAATGGCTCCAGGAAGTTGAAGTTTCTAGGGGACGTACCACTGGGGACCCCTAACTGTAGCCCTCAAATTGCTGCTCCTCCCTCAGTAGTTTGCCTTTAGGGTGCCTCTTGGCATTGCAAGGAGGCCATGATAAATGTTATGTCTACCAGAGAAGGCTATTTTTTTTTTCCAACAGCACAGCACTCTCCCTCAAAGCCCAGGGCCAAAGCCTGGTCAACTTGAAACTGTGCTTTATGCCTGTTGTTGTTCTTAAGGTTTTGCGCTTAAATATAGGACATGGGCATAGTGTATTTTCACCTTTTATGGAAAATTCAATTCATATTTTATGGTACTGTGATGTTTTATTATGTCAACTCCTGTGGCTTCTATGCTGAAGCAATGCAACAAATAATCATGATGAATCAAAAGCAATAAGCAAGGATGAATAAAAAGCAACAAGTAACTCTTGGGCTTCTTAAAGTACGAACAACAACATCTGTTTCTACAGCAAACTGCAGTCCAAAAAGGTTACAGGAATGCATGAGCAATGGTGTTACTACACATTAATGCTAGCTATTGTGCTGCATGAATGCGACCTTTGGGACTTGAGACCGTTGTTCTCCTGTAAGCAGTACCTTTTCAGATTTGTTTTCCTATCATTGTTGTGGAATACGAGGAATATGGAGTAGCCATTTCTGAAGAAGATTTCAAAAGCAACCTTCTGTGAGGAAAAATCAAATTGGCCTGTGGTCAGTTTACAAATGAAAAAGTACACAGCTGTGCTTTAAAGACATTCACCTACAATGTACTTCAGAAACAATGTGGTAGAACAGTTAGACCAACAAAGATAATTAAAAAACAATGAAACAGAAAAACTAGCAGGACAATTTGGTCCTCTTCTGGAAACAGTATCCACAGAGAGTTTTATCCCGTAGATCTTAATAACCAGTAGGCAGATCAATAAAATGGCAGGCAGTCTTTTAAGAAGGCAGGCTTTAAGCTGCTTAAAATCAACAACTTTGGTTGAACCTGGAAGACTGCTGGCAACCTGCTGATGAAAGGGAATGTGTTGTTTCACCAAAAAGTTTTGGCCCAAAGTTTATGAATATTTGACAAATCCTAAGCATTCCAGTATGGAATTAATCCACACCCACATTTAAGCCCCATTATGCATTCATGATCAAATCAGGATGATCTTTACTAAAAATCTATTGGGACCAGCAGGTCAACATCCAAAATTGGTGGGAATTGTTATTATTTATTTGATTTATATACCACTAATCTGGCAGTCAGGGCCACTCTGGGCAATTCACAACAGATAATCAAGCAATAGAATAACAAAATAATACATACACAAAATAATAATAATAATACAATTGGGACATAAATCAAGTGCAGTAAAAACAAATACAATACAATAAATGACAATCAAAAGCATAAAAGATAAAAGATAAGAAGCATGGTGGTGTGATGGATGATATTTTAGCAAACACTAAAATAGGAAGGCCTGCTTAAATAACCAAGTTTTTAAAAGCTTCCTAAATGTGCCCAGTGAAAGGGTCGGGTGGACTTCAGATTGAAGAGTTCCATAGCTGTGGAGCCACTGCTGAGAAGGCCTGATTTCTAGTAGATGTTTTCTGGTCCTCTCTCAGGGTCAGAACTCTCAACCACTGTGCCTGGGATAATTTTATAGAGTGGGCAGATCTAACTAGAAGGAGGTTCTTGGCCAGATATCGAGGTCCCAAACCATTTAAGGCTTTATAGGTTAGTACCAATACCTTGAAACTGGTATGGACGTAAAAGGAAGTCAGTGTAAGGCGGCCAGGGTGGGGGGAGATGTGTTGGTATTGCCTTGTCCCACTCAATAATCTGGCTGCCACATTCTGGACCCGTTGCAATCTCCGTAGCAGTCCCAAGGGCAGCCCCACATAGAGGGCATTACAGTAGTCTAATCTCGAGACTACTAGCATGGTGAGGGATCCAGTGTCAAGATAGGGCCGCAGCTGGGTGACCCACTTTAGGTGGAAATAAGCAGAATGGATCACAGACACTACCTGTAATGCCATTGATAGCACTGGATCCAGAAGTACACCCAAGCATCACACCTATCTTTCATGGAAAGAGTGACTCCCCCAAAAGACAGGGAGGCACCCAGACCACAGATACTAGGAGCCCCCACCCTCAGGATTTCCATCTTGTCTGGATTCAGCCTCAGACCGTTTTCCCTCATACATCCCAGCACCGTATCCAGGCAGCGCTCAAGGGACGGGACAGCATCCACTGCAGAAGGGTGGAAAGAGAGATAGAGCTGCATGTCATCCGCATATTGGTGACACAGAACTCCAAAACTCCTGATGACCTCCCCCAGTGACCTCATATAGATATTAAATAGCATTGGGGAGATTATTGACCCCTGCGGGAGTCCACAATTGAGAGTCCATGGAGCGTAGAACATCTTGCCCAAGCTGAACTGTCTGGGGATGTGTCTCCAGGAAGGATTGGAGCCAGACAAAGGCCTGACTACCGATCCCCAATCCCAAGAGCCTCCCAGGAGGCTACCGTGGTTGATGATATCAACGGCTGCTGAGAGATAGAGAAGGATCAACAAGGACATTTTGTCCCCCAGGAGGTCATCTTGCATGGCGACCAGTGCTGTCTCCATGCCATGACATGGCCTGAACCCGGAATGGAATGGATCAAGGGCATTGGTCTCCTCCAGGAGAGCCTGAAGCTGGTCAGCCATCACTCTCTCCACCATCTTGCCAATCAAGGGAATGTTAGTGACTGGACAGTAGTTGTTAATATCATCAGTCTCCAAGTTGGGTTTTTTTTCTGGATCGGCTTAATGAATGTCTCCTTGAGGGCGAGGGGAGCCCTGTAAATTATATGCTTCTCCTCCATGGAAAGGACAATCAGGGTTGCAGATCAGAGGGCTCCCAGTGGTGAAATGTTCTGGCCTTCAGGGTAACTCAGCCCATCCAGTCAGATTGTTGGCTCTTCTTGACTGGGAAGGACTATAAATTTTCAGATCAGATTGGGGCAACACTTGAAGTTCATTGCATGTTTTTTTTTCTTGCATGACAGCTGCTTCAGTCTTTGCCCTGGTAGGGATACTTAGATTTAGAAGTAGTTTCGAAAGAAATTCTTTAGTCCAAGGGTTGGGAATCTTTCAGCCTTGCAGATGTTCTGGACTATTAATGCATTATAATTCTAACTGGTTTGAACTATATTTCCCATAATTCTCTTTAATTATTGATGCTGGCTGGAGTTTCTGGGAGTTGAAGAACAAAATATTTAGACTCAAAAATGTTCAACTCTGCTTTTGTTTGAAGGAAGCAGGACAATGTACCAAGCTTTGATTCTATTTACCTTTTTCTTAAATCTACCATTTGTTTCTTTCTAACACTCTCCCCCCATTGTGCAGGAGATTCAGTACAAAAGGGACCTAAAATAAAACTCTGAAGTTTTTCAAAGCAAGACATACCTGAACTGAAAATGGAGCTACATTTCTGGGGAATGGAGTGGATCAGATCCCCGCTACACCAGTAATTTCAGCATGACTGCCAGGGGAAGAGGTATTCACAGTCCACACAATCATCTGATCCCACTCCCCATGCCCTAAATTTCCTTTGCATTATAGAATCAATTCTTTGCATCTACCATCTAGTTCTGAAGGTTTAAACTACTACTACAACAAGAAGACATAATCTCAGCCACGTTTTGCCAGATGTCCTATATTAAAGGAAAGTCTACGTTGACAGCTGCTTCTTACCTGGAGAAGAAAACGCATTGGTTGGATTTCTTTAATGTCACAGTATGAATAGCAGGAACATGTAGGCTGTCCCATGGCTTGCTCTTTGTGGCACAAACTATAAATGAACGAATCACTAATGCTAAAACAAACAACATAAGATACACGTCAGACAAGAATTACAGTACTAATCTATGTGCCCTAATAGGAAGATGAGACAGTTTCTTTTTCTCTGCTGTCTCACTGCATGCACAACCACAGATAACTTCCTCCAAGCCTGGAGTGGGTAAATCCTTGGGGTTCTGGAACCAATTTTGGCCCTCCTTCCTGGGACTTCTTGTGGGCTGCAACCTTGCTCAAACATACTTTTACTCCCCACCCCAAAACTAAATACAACCACTTCAGTTCCAGTTTTGAAAAAAGTTGGAGCAAGGGGCGACTACAGCAAGACTCTGCTGTTTGGCTAGAACTGCTAATCCCAGAGTCTTCCAAACATGGTGATTCTCAGTTTGTAGCTGGAAAATATTTTTTCAGCTTGGTGACCTAAGAGTGTAGGACCCACAAAAATATTCTTGGAGCTACTTGCAGGCTCTGGGCTATGCTATTCCTTTTATAAGTGCATGTCACTCTGACTTAGAAAACCCTGGAGCTTCATTATGATTTCTTTCTGGACTTCTAACAGAATGCAGAAGTCCAGAAGTTCTGTCTCACATTTTTTTTCCAATTTGGTTTTGGCTTTGTAAGGAGTCTGTACCCATATATTACTGCCAGTAATTTCACATTTTTATTAAGGATGTGTGCCAAGTGGGTATCCTGACACTGATTTGTTATATTTGCTCTTTACAATCTGTTTTTGTATTTATTCTCACATTTTTGTAATATAATACAGTTATATCTTTGTAGTGTTTTGATTGTTTCTGTCCATGTGCACCTGGAAATAGGATTTGACCAGGTATAGAAAGCTTAGTTATTGCATAGCAGAATGTGCACCTGCCGCAGTACTCCTCTCACAGTACCTGGGTTCCCCAGCATAGTGAAACAGTGCATCTATCCAATGGTTGCCTAGAGGAAGGAGATACATCACCTGGACAAGCAGTGTCTTGAGCAATAAACCTCCTCCAGGTGGGACAAAGTGAAATACTTGCAGATGTAAAAATGTTGTTGGCCAAACAGAAGCACCCCTTCCAATGCCATGTGTCCCTGAACAATCACCACAGATTGTCTGTATCTAATCTAAAGAAGGAAGCAGAGAAAGCATTTAAAGCATCAAAGCACACCAAAGGAATTTTTACAAGAATTCATGCCATTTCTTTTACTACTCTTAAGTGATAAAGGTTTTTGTTTGTTTGCTTGTTTTTGCTTTGTCTTTTTATAAATATTACAGGGCACCATGGTGCATTCCTCTGTATATTTCTGAGAGCAGATGCTGGCAATGCAATGTGACGACGACAACAAAACCCCTGTCCCATAATACATATGGGACAGATAATTGCAACCCGACTGGCTCAAAATTTTAAATTCCTCCAAAATAATAATAGTGTTCCAGGCTCTGATCTAAGCAGACAATTATGGGGGAAAAGACTGGATTTGTGACTGTGTCTGAATTCAACATGCATGTGTATTCAACAGGCATCCTTCTGTCTCAGGCACCTTTCAGAGACAGGAGGAGGAAGAGGCTGAAGCCAAACTCTTTAAAATGACACGTCTAAGAACATCTAGGAAAAATATATACTTCCTTTCTCTAACTTTTTTTAGAATTAAAAGCAGTCAAAGATGACTACAAGTTGAACAGAGGAATGATGATCATAGAGCTCTGTAACTCATGCTAAATGCCCCTGGTTTAACATAAAGTTTTTCCATGAATACAAGCACACACAGAGGCAGGAGTCCCCCCAGCTCATTGAGGCCCCCATCTGTGATGCTGGGGTCAGGAGCAAAGGAGGGCAAAGGCCTTATTCACCATTTTGTGGGAGTTCTCATAGCAATGGCTCCATGCTTCACAGGGGGATCTGAGGTTCCTGAGAGCCCTTGGAACCACCTTTTATCTGTCTGGCCAATCAGAAGGAAGATGGCAGACCTGGAAATGGGATAGCATGGTGCAAAACCATCTTCGTGTCAGTTAAATTCTGGAGCATTCAACATGATCTCTGCAGCCAAGGACAGTTGGCTTTGGACAGTAGTTCCCAAAGTCATGTCCTCAGATGTTTCTGAACGACAACTCCCAGAACTCCTGGTCAGTACAGCTAGTGGTGGAGACTTCTTGGAGTTTTGGTTTATCTGGGGACCCAAGGTTGGGAAGCACTGCTTTAGAGCAGTGGTACTCAAACTGGGGTCCCCAGGTGTTCTTGGACTAGAATTCCCAGAAGCCTTCACCACTTGCTGTGCTGGCCAGGATTTCTCAGCATTGCAGTCCAAAAACATTTGGGGACCCAAGTTCAAGAACCACTGCTTTAGAGTGCCACCCACCCTCTATCACCTGACATTGGCTCTTGAAGTGGTGTCAGAAGGATCAAAAGATTGGGGCAATGTATACATAGGGGCAAAATCCTGTTTATTCTGGCATAATGAAAAGTTATACCAGGGTAAGTGTGCCAGGTGTTATGCCCAGCAACAAGGAATGGTGCTAATGAACTGTGCAATTACTTGTGTTTCCCTGACACAATCAATTGGTGGAAGTGCTTCATGGACAGCAGTTTTGTTTCAGTGCTAGTGCACATTCTGTGGGCACAAACCTGAGTTGTTCAGGCATGTTGCTCTACAGGATTTTGGGCACAGTATATTATGCTGTAATCATTTAACAATAACAACAACAACCTTGGAACTGCAAAGCCAGAAAACAAGCTGCCGATCACCAAGTCCAACGCATCTCAAAGAGGCACAGTGGGAAACTGCAATCCCAACCTCTGGCTCCACAACCAGCAATCTAAGCCACTGAGCTGTTCAGCAGTTTGTGTTACTTTTTTTTTAATGGTTTCACAATGGAGAGCTTGATCCAGATCAGATTGTAGGTATAGGGGAGATGGAGCCTGTTTGCTCAGTCTCCCCATTTCAGGGATCCCTTAAGGGGTCTCAGGATAAAAGGTTTAGGGACTTTCCTTGTTTGGGGGCAGACCACCTTTGAATTCACAACAGATGTTGGGGACCCACACAGTGGTTGAGTGTCCAGATACCACTCGATTTCCCTATCCATCCATCATTCCCTGTCATTGCTTATTGAACAGCCAGGCTCTCTCTGTGTGTGTGTGTGTGTGTGAAACAGCCAGGCTCTCTCTCTCTCTCTCTCTCTCTCTCTCTCTCTCTCTGTGTGTGTGTGTGTGTGTGTGTGTGTGTGTGTGTGTTGCACGCTCAATCAAGTCAGCTGGTGCCTGGACCCACAGCCCCACATCGAGGTTATCCAGCTGTAACCAAGAAAGTTGTACACACAAATGGTCCAATCGATTCAAGTGAAGCGTATCTCTTGGATTACATATCCATGACCAAGCTTACTGTTAATGATACCATAAAACTCTGTTTTTCCTCTCAGTCCGTGCCAGCAAATGTCACAGAAGTGACATCAAGGAGGTAGCTTTTTTACATGTAGCCCCACAGGGTAAATCGTGTTGTTACCTAATGAAGCAGTATAGAGTCTGAAATTGACATAGATTAACTAAACTTTAGTCCTCAGATGAGAACCAGAACTGGTTCACTAGTTACTAGAATAATTATTCAGTGATGCAAAGGTGACATGAAATAATTGCTTGCAAATATATCTTCAAAACATAGTTCCAGATAACTAATCCCAAACATATTACTTTAGGGAAATGAGCACTGGATCACTCAATTTGCTCAGGTATGTATATGATTAACTAAACTGGCATTGCCCTGATACTAAAGACAAATGTCAATTTTATTGGTATAAAGTGCATATACAGTTTAAACAAAAGACTGAAATATTAGGCAGGCAAAGCAATCCAAACTCAACGATACATCAGTTATAGGAGGTTTGGAATGGGCAAAAGCTCCTTGAGTCACTTGATCTTAGATCTGCCGGCACAACTGTGGTGCTGGCTGAAGCTAGCAGGTCAAAAAGCAGTCAGAAAAAGAACAAAGGAATAGCTGAGTTATGTCACATTCAAATACCCCTTAGCCCAGACCCAGAGCCACCATGTGTGCAACCAGACAGCCCAACTGTCCCAGCTTGGATTAGTCTAAACAAGGTCATTTTGCATCAAGGTATGCTATTTTGGGCAATCCTTGCATTCATACATAAGGATCAACCATACCACACCTCAAGCGACCCTGTTTAGAATGATCTTTGATCGTCTTTCCCTTTAAATGTGGCATAATTCACCTTTAAAGGAATACAAAACAAAACAAGTCTGTCTCCCTACTGTCTCCTTTTCTACGCTTTGCTTCAACTGCTTAATGATCTTGAGAAACAGAAAGTTTCCTTATTGCTTCACCACAGAGGGGCAGTGAAAGGAAGTTTTGCATTTCTTTTTAATTGTTGCCAACTGACATAGCACATCAGCAATGCTTTGAAAGGACTTTTTGAAAAAAAATCCCTTTCAAAACATCGCTGATTCATTAGCTCCAATTGAAAAAGAAACGTGAAACTTCCTTCCCCTCTGCAGGCGAGCAGCAAGGTAGTTTCCCATTTCTTAAGATCATTAAGTAGCTTCAGCAAACACACAGCTGGCCAGCCAACCACTTTGGTTAAATCTCCATGATCACACATGCTGGAACTGAACCCAAATACAGCAATCCTATCTACATCAAACATCATCATTGTTACATACAGCACTGATGTTACCTGTCTGTCATGGGTTTGGAGGGAAAGTTCCATCCTATGGGGAGTGGAAGGCGGGACATCAGGAGGAGGGGCTGTACTGTATATATATGTGATGCGTGTGTGGAGAAGGGGAGACGCTGGGATGTGACAAAGCAGCAGCTGGGAAGAAGAAGCTGGTGTGGGAGTCTGTGTGTCAGACAGGGTACTACTGTGTGTCAGAGTACCAACCTGATAGGTTCAGGTGTCTGTTGGTTAGCCAGAACTGATAGGTTCAGGGTCTGTGCTTCAAGTTAAGGGTTCTGTGTGAACCAAACTGTGTGTATGTATGAGTGAAACTAAGCCACGTTACTATATCTTATTCACCTGATCATTTTATTTTGCCTGTGTGTTGTTTTAAATAAACCTTGTTCTTTATTTGTTTAAAAATCCATCCCTGGTCTGTGTGACTTCTTATAGGGAATGGTTGGTGGCAGCTTAGTTAAGTGTGGCAGATCCCAGTAGGTCTGGGTTTGTCACATTGATTGGTGTCCAGCGTGTGGGATACGACTGGTCCAGTTGTCCAGCGGTCCAGCAAAGCCTTGGCAAGTGTGCCCAGAGCAAGGGGGGTCTAGTCAGGGACAATCTGAGGGTGCGTAGGTAATCTTCTAGGCGTACCTCACGGGGAGGTGCGCTAGTGGAAGAACGTGCCAACTGGGGAGACTAGATTAGGGTGCTCTGAGGCAGCCTGTTTTTGGCGGGAAAAAA